TTGAGCTTCGCAATACTTCTAACTGTTACCTAAACTGTACCTAAAGTAAGTGGAAGGTCAATAAATGCCAGATACGCATTTACGGAGTGGCGATGGCAAGCGACAGCCGCTTTTCTGGCCTCCGCTTGCAGTAAACAGCGGGCTTGCCACTGTACAGATATATGCAGTTATATCAATAGCGACAATTAAAAAAAACAAGCATATCAATACCAATGCAATCCGCTGAAAACGTATGCCAGGGAGTCCGTTCACGAAGGCGTACTAAATTACCAACTGAAAATTGCGTGTTGTTACATATCAGTCGGAGAAGTACCGGCTAAGTGCGGCCGACAGCTTTCGGTGACAGCCTGCGTAGCTGAAAGCGCGACGTTCCATCGTCAGCGCTCATGGGCGAACATCTACACAAGACAAAATAGTTGATTTAGGTTCATGGATGTCTAAACTATACTTCACACTTATACTCACACTTTAAAGTCGTGTGTACACGAAGCAAGAATCGCCGGTAACATATACACCAACGCGGCTGGCATGACAGGTTTAATGCTCGCTGGGCTGGGCACTGGGTAAGACCGCTTACGTATGCTCGGTATCTGTTAAAAAAATTACTTATGCTTGGTTAGGGTAGCATCTCTCCTTGCCGTCGAATCAAGCGGTTCATATTCAAAGACACCGAAAGAAACCACGGCACATGCTACAATAACATGCACGCAGCAGCTGCGCTGGTAGAAACAGTGTGTGCTCCAGTAATCACCAGCGCTTGCCAGTGAAAATTCTAGCGCTTCGATCGCTTCGCAGTGCGCACCAGCATCACAGTGGTTGAGCCAGCGCCCCTACCAGTGCGACACAGTTTTTTCCCAGGGTGCCCAGCGAAGGGCCAGTGATTATAGGCGCGTACCAGCGTCTCCAGCGTGTACCAGTGCCAAAAAACATACTGGCATCACGCTGTTTTTGCAATAAGGAGTGCAAAAACAAGACGAATACGAGAGGATACAAACACGCCGATGATTAATGACCACATTTCAATGCGTTTACAGGTCGCCATACTATACAAGAAAAACACAATCAATACGTCAGCGAGCCAGATATGTCGGTATAGAATGCTAAGTCACAGTCACATGCCAAGTCACGCTTTATGCGTGCCTCACTCTCGCTCTGTATTTTTTGTCGTCACGCCTTACACTTCAAATATTACGCTTAGCTGAGAAACACTAAGGGGCGCTTGATAGCGGTAAGGGAGCTACGGAAGTAACCAAAAGGCTTTACTTATTTATTTATTTATTCATGATACCTTACAGGGCCCGATAGGGCATTGAGTAAGGGGAGCAAGTACGAAACAAAAACTATCAGAGATAAATGCATTAATAAATACAGGGAAACAAAATTGAAAAAAAGAAAAAAAAAGGGTACAGTGCAGTTAAGGAACTTATTTTCCCTCCTCCCTTCCCTTTTCCCTTTTCCTTTTTTTACACATGGCAAAAAACAGCAATTAACAGCAAAGGAGATAAAAAAACAAACATATATACTTATATATGTATATATATATACACACACATACATATGTACAGTGCAAAGCATTTTCGAACAGAGGAACAGCATTTCTTATTCCATGAAACAATTTTTCGCCAATCATACACACTCGCAAAGGAAAGAATGGCGGAAGAATTCGCGAAATAAAAAGTAATGGTGACGACATGATACTATTTCAAGAAATGCTTACGCAATTGGTCACTTGACTGTGAAAATATTGTCTTGCGCGGTCATTTATTATTCTTATGTATACCGCCCTGTTAAACACGTCAACACTATTGCACGCGCCGGGTGCACGTTAAAGATCCCCACGTAGTCGAAATTTCTGGAGCCCTCCACTACGGCGTCTCTCATAATGATATAGTGATTTTGGGACGTTAAACCGCCCAAATAAACCGATTGCACGTGTCGTGCTGCAATTTCGAACATTCTCTGTTATTTTATATTGTTATGGTAAGCTTGAGCACGCAACGCAATCACAGAAGGTATTCTGAAACTAACGCGGTCACCAACAATAAAGCTGAAACCTTCGACGCCACTTGTGTGAATGCCAACGCGCTTTTCCACTGATCAGATTATTCGATGGCCGGTGAGTGTGCTCGGTGCTACAAGGGCTTTCCGTCTATATCGCTTTTATTTTGAGTTTTCAAGTTCAACCAATAAAGAATTCTGTATTTCTCAGCCTTGCACAAGCTTTTCTTCACCGTCACAAGCGCGTGACGAAAACATGTGCGCCGCGCCCTTATCTCGCGGTGGGGAGGAAGGGAGGATCGTACATCTTGGCTGGCCTCGGGCTTTACCTGGAACTATTCTGTTGTGCTTACCCGGTGCACAAAGGTCACGGAAATCATTACAGTCTTCGTTCGCGAAAAGCGAGTGCTTTTCAGACACAGTGAAGTAAAAACAGAGACGCTTAATCACGTAAATCTGTACCAGTGAATACAATTTCAGCGTCATTTGTGCGTGAGAAATGCGGAGCACGTTTAGATCTGCTTTCCATTCTGCACGTGATCTTCCAGTTTGTTGCTATCGCATTCATTGCTTCACCTTTCCGGCAAAGCTCTGACTTTTTTTCTCCTTCTCCAAGAATCACACATTCATTGTTCGGCGCGACGTTATTGCAAGTGTTTGACATCGTGAGCTAACTCGGCGGCATGGTTAGGATCAGCACGTTGCTGGCGCTTGCATTCCCGTTCGCGACTTAGCGCACCTTGGAAGGATGCGGTACCATCGGTACGCAGTTCGTTCCTGCATTCGACCTCCCGCGCCTGTTTTTGTGCCAGGACTGCGCCATCGAGCCGGCGAATGCGAGCTCTCTTGCTTTTCCACTGTCGGTGCTCTTTTACAGTTGTCCTTGGCATGTCCATGCGGAAGGTTTGAGAAGAAACTAATGTGCGCGTGCTTGGCACCATGGCTGCGATGACATGGACGACGTCACTCAATGCAGCCAACAGCGCGCGTGCTTGGGTACGACGCTGAGAATGTATGACGCCACTGCTGGAGAGTTTTTCGTTTCTGCTATCCATATATGGCTTTCGCTGTAAAATGGATCGTGACCTCGTAGGCTGCATGCAGATGAAAGGCGCTACACACTTTCTATGGAGCACGAAGATCACCTGTATACTTTAAGTAAGTGGTCAAAGTGAACTTGGCAAATCTGTTTGTCCCTGTAGCGAATAGCGCCATCTGTAAAACCTTTATGAGCACGTTCAGAAAAAAAAATGTAGAATAGAGACCTTCTGTAGCTGTTTATATTTTTACGCGAATAGACGCAGACGAGATGTTGTAGATGATTGTATATAGAGAGTACTTGGGATCTGCACCCTAATGCAGTGGCACAAATTTCTCTAAGTCATCGCCATCTTCTTTTTCTACGTTTTCGCATCTTGATGACTCTTCATAGCATCATACCTGGCAGTAAAAGCAGCGTACCAGAGGTTATAAATGAGCGGGCCGATTCACAGGAGTGAGCCTTGAGTCTACTGACACGGACAAAGTCGAAGCCGTGGTAAGGGGGAATGGGGACTTTCCAGCAGGGTAATTTCATTGGTTACCGATGTCACTTGGTGGATGATCTAGTAGGTTCATGTGTATCTAGAAAGAAGCTTCCTCATAAGCCTGACATGAAGAGACGGTGACCGCAGGAGTACGAGTGCTCTAGCCGAGGACTGTGCTTTGCAGTGGTCGCCATCTTAGCAATGTCGCTCTGTGATCTATGAAGCCATAGTGAAGCACTCAGTTGAGTAAGGGCTGTTTCACCACGTGCGTGCTCGGCCGTTGGTGGGGCAGCGAAAGGGAGGACAGTATCAAGAGGAAGGGTGGGTTTGCAACCATACAATAGATGAAATGGACAAAACCTAGCCGTGGCGTGTCGAGAAGAATCGCAGGCCACTGTGACGTAAACGAACGCAATGCACCAATCGTGGTATTTATTCGATGCGCACATTGTCTGTGAGGATTTTGTTGAACCACTCTGTGACACCGTTCGTTTTAGGATGGTATGACGACGTCAGTTTGTGTTGAGTGCCAGAGGAACGAGGATGCCAACGAGAACTCTAGAGAACGTTACGGCCACAGTCAGTAAACAGATATCGTGGAGCTTCATGAACTAAAATAATGGCACGCAAGACTAATTGCGTGACGCAGGTGGCGCAACAGGTTGGGAGAGCCCGTGTTATGGCACGTCGAGTGGCGTACTCAGTCGCAACGCCTGCTTAGTCATTTTTTCCCGGTGGATGACGTTGAAAAACGGCCGAAAAAATGAAGTCCGACAGGGAATAACAGCTCAGCAGGAACGTCTATTTGTTGGAGATTGCTAACACGGAGCACCTGGGGCGTTTGGCAACATTTACACGAATTACAGGCAGAAACATGGCGCCAGACTCAACGATGACATCAGGCCAATAGTCGCAACGGTGGATGCGATCGTGCATACGCGATACACCTATGTGTCCTGAAGATGGAGCCTCATAAAATTCAAAATAACAGTTTGATGAAATTGTCTGACAACGACTAGGACAAGTTGTGGACCATGTCGATGGAAGCTGCTACGGCATAAGTCACCATCATAAAGTACGAATTGACACACAGAAGCGTCACGTTGGCGATGAATACTTGACGAGTGCCCGTAGCAATATTTTATAACGCTGCTCGTCTGCGATGTTAGTGAAAGCAGATGGAGGAAAGATATTGGGCAGGTCGTGGTCAGTGCCATCAGACTTCGTCCAACGAGAAACGAGACAATCTGTTGGCGTCCAATCTATTGGCATTCAGTCTGTAGGTGGCCACACTTATAGATGGCAGAATTATGATGTCGTGTTCATTGAGCATGTTTTTTTCTTGGTTCACCTAGCATCTCTGTTTACCCGTCGACATCTTATACAAAGAGGGAAAGGGTCTAGACGACTTTATAATCACCGTTATGAGTGTCATACTGTGACTGAAATGACCCTAAACTAAACTGAATGGAACAGGTGGTTCTCATCGACGAACCGACCTCAGGCCTGGACCGGTCCAACACCCGGCTCGTGTGGGATATGCCACTGCGCGTGCGCCCTACGAGCGCACTTCTCATCTCTACACACGACATGACCGAGGCGGACGTTCTTGCCGATCGCGTCATCGGCCTCACCAAGGGAACTGTAGTCTGCAACGCCTCGCCCACCTACCTGAAGAGCCTTCTTGGTACGTGTACGGCAGTTTTTTTATGAATGCATTTGTTTGGAGCTAGCGTTCACCTTCCTCTTTTTTTTTTCATTTTGCTTCACTAGTAACAAACTGACAAAGCTACCCCCGAAGTAACGTGTAAAAACTTCAAAACTTCATTGATGTTCTGCTGAATCCAAATCCCGAGATTTCTGTGTTTCAAGGTAGGACTGTTAGGTATACAATATCACTTGAATGAGCTGCGCATCCACTTCATCCTTCCGTCGCTCACGTGAATAAAAAAAGTTTATCTTGTGTCATAGGAATCGCCAATTCACGAGTTAAGCATTTAATGGGTGTTCATTGTAGAATATATTATCGAAATAGCAGAAACCTTTTTAGTAGAGCAAAGCATGATTCATCCATCTATGACGTACTACTCTAAATGAAGAATATAACTATCTGTTAGACAAGACATGAATCATGTGTTGCAATACGTGCACATGCGCACAGTTTTGATTAATCATTGTTTTCTATATGTTCGTTTCTCTTAAAAATAAATTTATCTGTGAGTTCAGTGCGGTGCCCCTTCTCTGCCTGTATCTAACCCGTGGCGTCTTGAAATGTTCCATGACAATAGGAATCGGTATGACGTTAAAGTAGCACGTATTTTTAGAAAAAGTAGTTGAATATTTACTGTACATTAACGTAAAAAAGCCAGAACTATAACTATGGGTGTTCGTGAGTTATAGCGCTGTTTAGCGGGGATGGATGTACGTTCGCGCTTGGTGGTACATTTCCATTCTTACGACTAGTGATCTAATGAACAACCATGATCAATGTTTAAACAAACATTTGTGGTAGCTGTACTAATTGATTTGATTGATCTGTGAGGTTTAACGCCCTAAAACCACCATATGGTTATGAGAGATGCCGTAATGGAGGGCTCCGGAAATTTTGACCACCCGGGGTTCTTTAACGCGCACCCAAATCTGAGTACACGGGCCTACAACATTTCCGCCTCCAACGGAATGGTAGCTGTACTGGGTAAGGTGGGAGTGTAATCACGGAAAACGGCGTTACAGTCAAAAGGGCGTCGCTGATTGGCCGCAAAACTTGGGACATGGTCACCATGCAGGTAGAGGGTGGTTCGGCGAAACAGGAAGAGACAAAAATGGCTCCATATCTGCATGTCTACTGCAAATGTCGTCGAAAGACGATAGTCTGAAGTGAATAAAATATTGATTTGATGTGTTGCGCGAGAAAATTGGTGAATAGGTTTTGGAGGCACTGCGATAAACATGAGTGCCATCTGGTGATAATCTCAGAACACGAGATGATTACCTGCGTTATAGCGTGCGCGTACAATCTTGGAGGCCGCATTGTGTAGATTTCAAGATACGTGACAGCACCATATCGTCTTGGCAAAGCATTTCAAACGCTTTTTTGTGCATCTCATCACAAGGACAGCGCAGCGTTATAAACGCTATAAAAACAGTTTGTAGAATTACGTGTGTATGTCTTTCCTAGTATAAAGAAACACACCACAGAAGATTGGTGCGTTGATATTGTGCCTCACATATGCTTCATATTTGCTTTTTATTGTACAATTGCACAATTATGTACGCCGAAGCCAGAGCAATATTGCTGGGTGCTGCGGATGTGGTAGTACTTGAGCGGTTTTGCGTGGCAAACAGAAAAAAATGAATGTAGACCAAAAAAACTCCCAAGCATTTCCCCGAGGGTGAACATGGTTAAGTGCGAATACACGGGGTTATGCTATGAGGGGTATTTATTAATTTGCACTATTATATTTATTAATCACACTATGGTGCCTTTCTGGTGTAATAGTTCCTGGGAATCGCAGTTTGATCACACGGGGGAGTTTACGTTAACTCACTGGCGAATGCCCACGGATTTTAACTTTACTCCCCCTCACGACCTGCTCTCGACGGGAGACTGAGAGAGAAGGCGGGCGCGCGAGAGAGAGGGGTGCGCGCGCAGCTGCAGCGAGCGAGGAGAGTGGAGGAGCGAGTGAAGGAGAGGGGGTATAAGGCGCGTTACTGACACCGATATCAGCGTCGCGTCCGTGGCTTATTCGGTAGAGCGTCGCGCTGCGGCCCGCCAAGTCCTCTTTCTTTTCAAGATAGAGAGAAGACTGCGGACGCCGCCGACGGCGGGGGATGGCTTGGGGTCGCTTATAAAGTGTATTCACACTTAAAATTTTTTTCTTAAGTATCCCGAGGAAGACTCGCGGCCCGGCTCAAATGCTTTTGGGGAAGGGGAACTTATAGATGATTAGCAGAAAAAAAAATAGGAAGGAGTGAGAACCATACTGCGACATGTTAACCAGACAAGAGCAAAATGCAATGCGTGTCGGGTTTCCTCTCTAAGCCGGCCGCGATTTTAAATGCGAAGCATTTCTTAGCAAACTTCGCCGACTTTGAGCGTATCTATCTATCTATCTATCTATCTATCTATCTATCTATCTATCTATCTATCTATCTATCTATCTATCTATCTATCTATCTATCTATCTATCTATCTATCTATCTATCTATCTATCTATCTATCTATCTATCTATCTATCTATCTATCTATCTTGCCGCCTACGACGTTTAGCTCTCCTGACCATATTGATAATAGTATCGATATCGATAACAAACTTTGTATGACATAACATGACTGTGTGAAGAACATGTTTGGCCAGTCATAACATGAAAATCATGACTTCTATGTCATGAATGTCTTGTTTTAGGTTTCATGGTCCTGCAGCTCTTGCGGTGGTATCGTTAACAAGGCATGTTTCAAAACTGGTATGGTATGACGTGGTTGCATGGCGAACACAAGCGACAGATCATAACATGAAAATCATGACATGCATGTCATGTAACAAGATGACTACATGTCACGCTCATGGTGCGCTCGCGGTCGTTTCGCTATCGTCACATATACCAAATATGAAAGTAAACATTCGACAGAAGTCTGTCTGGTTGGGTATGAAACTTAGAGATGATGTAGACTCCAACCACACGTTTTGCAAAAACCCGACGTTTCGGAACCGACTGGGTTCCATCCTCAGGGGTGACTGCGGAGGCTACGTAGCACCGCCGTCTTCGAAGCACTCGCGGGGTGGCTCATGACCTCTCTCTCTCTCTCTCTCTCTCTCTCTCTCTCTCTCTCTCGTTTTGCCGTGGAGAGCAGTCCGTGTGTATACACTGGGGGAAGGGTTCCGAGAGAGCGGTTGATGTTATGGGAAGTCCTCTGTATGTGCCACGACTCGAGTAACAACCTTCTCCTCCAGTTCGGCTTGCTTTCAAGGATGGCCGTCACTTCAAAATTGGTTTTGTGATCCAATGTCTGAGACGTTGGATCACAACGCTGAGACTTTGGATCACAAAATAAATTTTGAAGCGACGGCCATCCTTGAAAACGAGCCGAACTGGAGGAGAAGTGTTTACTCGAGTCGTGACACATACAGAGGACATCCCATAACATCAACCGCTCTCTCGGAACCCTTCCCCCAGTGTATTTACACGGGCTGCGCTCCACGGCAAAACGAGAGAGAGAGAAGGGGGGGGGGGGGGTCATGAGCCACACCGCGAGTGCTTTGAAGACGACGCTACTACGTAGCAGCCTCCGCGGTTACCCCTGAGGAAGGAACCAAGTTGGTTCCGAAACGTCGGGTTTCTTCAAAACTTTTGATTGGAGTCTAAATCATCTCCCAATACCAAAATTAGTATTGCGGTACGTGAATGGATGACGAATGTATGTGACTGGTGCAAGCATGATGATAATGAGATGCGTGTCATATAACAACATGACTACATGGCATGCTCATGGTGCGCTGGCGGCCATTTCGCTAGCTTCACTAATAACAAATTTGGTATTACTGGACATGAATGAATGACGAAGGTATAATACTGGTGCAAACTTGATAAACATGAGATGCATGTCATGTAACAACATGAATATATGCTACGCTCACGACGCGCTTGCGGCCGTTTCACATGTACCAAACTCGGTATTGCGCGACGCCAATGGATGACGAAGGTATGCTACTGGTGCAAACATGATAATCTTGAGATGTGTGTCGTGGAACATGAGTACATGCCACACTCACGATGCGCTCGTGGCCGGTTCGCTAGCTTCACGTATGCTAAATATGGTATTACGTGACCTCAATGAATGACGAAGGTATGCGACATGTGCAAACAAGATAATCATGAGATGCATGTCATGTGAGAACATGACTACATGCCACAGTCAAGGCGCCAACACATTTCGACATAACGCGGTGCGCGTGCTCACCGGCGTTTATTTCGTTGCGTGACGCCGGCATTGCCACACCAGACACTGATCTGCCTGCCATATACTCGCAGGAGCACGCCACGCGGACGCGCTGGACGCGCTGAAACGCATGCACGTTTCAGCGCGTCCAGCGTCCCTCCGTCACAAAAAGAGGGAGATGCAGTGGTGTCTGAGTAACGCATCGCTTAACACATCGGAAATGCAGCACGTTGCATTTAACGCCAGTTGCCGTCGGGACGCGCCGACGGACGCTGGTCACGTCCGGCGTCAGACTACAGAGTGCTCGCGTATTGCTGACGTAGCGTCGCTGTGTCCAGCGTGCGTCAACTCTACATTAGAGTAAATTGGGCACTTCATTATGCGTTCGTGGTCGTTATGCTAGCTCCACATATACCAAATTTGGTGTTACGTGACCTAGATGGATGAGTGGTGCAAACATGATAATCCTGACACGCGTGTCCTGTAAGAACATGACAAGATACCACGCTTAAGCATGTACGTGGCCGTTTCGCTAGCTTCACATATACTAAATTCGGTATCGCGTGACGTGAATAAATGACGAAGGCCAACGACACATCTAAACATGATAATCAAGACACGGAAGTCATGTAGGGCATTATTTACCTCCTCCTTGTAACTTTGTGCTGATTTTAAAGTGACATATCAACCTTTCTCATTCATGCTTCTCATATTATCGATTCCCTCTTGCCAATCTGCCAATTTTTTGTCGGGGCCAGCAGAAGTGGGGAACGCAGTGTTACGGCCAAGTGAGGCAGCTGTACCTGAATACCTATTTTAGATGCGAAGCATTTCTTAGCGAACTTTGGCGACCTTGAGTCTATCTATCTATCTATCTATCTATCTATCTATCTATCTATCTATCTATCTATCTATCTATCTATCTATCTATCTATCTATCTATCTATCTATCTATCTATCTATCTATCTATCTATCTATCTATCTATCTATCTATCTATCTATCTATCTATCTATCTATCTATCTATCTATCTATCTATCTATCTATCTATCTATCTATCTATCTATCTATCTATCTATCTATCTATCTATCTATCTATCTATGTATCTATCTATCTATCTAGCAGCATACGACTTTTAGCTCTGCTGGCCGTTTCGATAATGTTATCGATATTAAACTTGGTATGGCATAACATGACTATATGAAGAACCTAATTGACTAGTCATAAGATGAAAATCATGACATGTATGTCATGAATGCCATGATTTACATTTCACGGTCATGCAGCTCTTCCGGTGGTTTCGTTCACATTGCATGTTGCAAAACTGGTATGGTATGTCATAATTGCACGGCGAACACAAGTGACAGACCCTAATAGGAAAATCATGATATGCGTGCCATGTAACATGACTACATGCAAAGCTCATTATGCGTTCGCGGCTGTTTCGCTAGCGTCACATATACCAAATTTGGTTTTGCGGTACGTGAATAGATGACGAAGGTACGTGAGTGGTGCAAACATGATAATCATGAGATGCGTTTCATGTAACAACATGACTACATGCCATGCTCACGATGCGCTCGCAGCCGTTTCGCTGGCGTCAATTATACAAAATTCGGTATTACGGGACGTGAATGGATGACGAAGGTATGATACTGGTATAATACTGGGGCAAACATGATAAACATGAGATCCGTGTCATGTAACAACATGGCTACATGCTACGCTCATGATGCATTCGCGGCCGTTTCGCTGGCTTAATATGTACCAAATTCGGTATCACGCGACGCGAACGGACGACATAGGTAAATGACACATTCTAACAAGATAATCACGACTTGCGTGTCATGTAGCAACATGACTACATGCCACACTCATGATGCGCTCGCGGCCGTTTTGCTAGCTCCACATATGCCAAATTTGGTATTACGTGACGCCAATGGATGACGAAGGTATGTGACTGGTGCAAACATGATAATCACGAGATGCGTGTCATGTGATAACATGACTACATGCCCCAGTCAAGGTACCAATACATCTCGACGTGACATGGTGCGCGTGCTCGCCTGCGTTCATTTTGTCGTATTACGCCGGCGTTGCCACGCCTTGCGCCGGTCCTGCCACATACTCGCAGGCGCGGGCCGGGCTGCGTTGCTTTGACGCATGCGTGTTTCAGCGCGTCCGGCGTCCCTCCGTCACGAAAAGAGGTAGACGCCATGTTGTCTGCGTAAAGGCCGTTTCACATGACACAAAATTACCAATTTTTAGTCCGCGAATTCTCTCGCAGCGAAAAAAAGGCCAGTTCGCTCCCGCCTCAGTGGTTCGCGGCAAACTTCAATTATGTTGGAAATATTCACTCTGATCGCAGCAGCGGGAGCGATTTTTAGTCGGGACCCGTCTAAATATGACCGGGCTTGCCAAGCTGTCGAAATAGCATCGACGTGTTTGTTTTAGTATTCGCCGATGCTGTGCATTTTAAAATTCGGATTAGAAAATGTTTTTAAATTACGAAACACAAGTGCTCTTTGTTATCGTTCATGGAAACTTTATTATAACGCACTGATTGTTGCACCGTATTTGAAAAATTATAGTGTCTGCCACAACGAACAGCGGCAAGAAACGTTCTTCGCCGCTGCGTTCGTGGTCCATGCGAAACAATACCATCATTAGCGGCGGTGTCGAACAGAGTGATTGGAGCGAACGGAACGATTTTTTTTTTCGCTCCAATCGCGGCATGTGAAACAGCCTTAACGCATTGGCGCGAAATGCAGCATGTCACTGACCAATTGCACTGTGAGAGGAATGCGTGCGATAGACAAGTTGCCTTTATGAAGACTTCAGAGTGTGTGACCAGGGCGCAGTAGATAGCGTGTCCAGAATCTGTTGCGGTGGACCTAGAGGCCGTGGGTTCGACTCTTGTGGAAGGAAATGTTTTCACTGTGTGATTTGTGATGTCATTTCCGTTACGGAATTACTTTTCTGAAATTTTCGTGGGCCCCCACATAAAACACTTTCGTGTTACAAATACCCACGACCACACGATCTGCGTCTTTACTTCATCTCTGCGGCATTGACCTGAAAATAAAGTTAAATAGCAACGTCGGCGTCATGTATTGAACTGCAATAGCGCAAAAAACATAGTTGACTGCCTTTCATAGGAAGAGCAGCTAAAATAAATTACAAAACCACACTAAAAGCGACTCAAGACAGCTTCGGAGCTACGCACGAATCTGTTTGTTCAACGTTCACCTTGTGTCGCCATTCATCTCGTGTTAGTCTTTTCTATTGCTGGTTAACACACACGTAATATAAGATAGCTGGTAAAATAGTCCCATCAGGTGTATTTCGCTTCGAGTAATCTTGACCGAATGCAAAATATGACCGTCTGAATATTTCCCTGTGGCGACCATCAAAAACCTTGCAAACCTGCCTAATCATTCAATAACGTAGTACGTAGCGTAACCTAACGACCATGGTAACTGCCTCGCCGTGGTGGTGTAGTGTCTAAGGTACGCGGCTGCTGACCCGCCAGTCGCGGGATCGAATGCCGGGTGCGGCGGCTGCATTTTCGCCTGCCCGTGTGCTCAGATTTGGGTGCACGTTAAAGAACCCCAGGTGGTCCAAATTTCCGGAGACCTCCACTACGGCATGTCTCATAACCATATGGTGGTTTTGGGACGTTAGACCTTACATATCAATCTTCGATATCAGTCATATCAATCTTCGATGGTAATCTTCGATTTTTTTCACATGCAAGTGGTTTGTGTTAGTGACCAATAAGAGGCATGAAGATGACTCTTTTTTTAGTGTTAGAGATATCGACTCATGAACACGAAAATAACCGCTTATATTGGTGTAAAATTTGACATAAGGTGACAGAGGCGTAAAACCATTTACCGAGCTAACAGATGACTCTATTTTTCAAGTGTGGTTGGTTATCGGTGGAATCTAGGTCTAGCAACGGCGCACGACAACTAAAAAAAAGTGAACCTTGCTTAAGGCTATGCTTGATTGTTGTCTACACGTATACTATTTTTCAAATGTGAACACACTCGACTGCTGACCCGTAGGTCGCAGGATCGAATTCCGACTGCGGCGGCTGCATTTTCGATGGAGGCGAAAATGCTAGAGGCCCGTGTACTAAGATTAGGCGCACGTTAGAGAGCCCCGGATGGACTAAATTTCCGGAGTCATCCACTACGGTGCCTCTTATAATAATTTTGTGGTTTTGAGACGATAAACCCCAACAATCTTTCTTATTATTTCTCGGACGTACAGAGGTTCGTTGCTTGAGACAGCGAGGACTCATCAAGATAGTTACTTTAGCCTGTAGTAAATGTCTATTACCTGGAGAGGAAAAACGACTTTGATGGTCGTCAGAAAGAACTTAGACATTTCATAGAGCCTATGAAACTGTTCGGAACCTCCGAAAATCAACTCTGTCGCAGGCGCAATGAATCAGCCCACGTATTTGCATTTAAGTTGCAGGCGCACAGTAGCAGCCCGCGCATTTATACTTAGCCATGCAGAAAAGTGCTGCTCCCGTATGTAAGGCTTATTTCTGGCACAGGCGTTGGCTACAAGGTGAGACTCAAGAAGAGCGCCAAGGTGCCCTTTCAGGAGCAGCATGCCCTGTCTATACTGCGGAGTTATAATACGCGCCATCGGCTGAAGTCCTGGACGACCACCCGAGTCAAGCCATCGTCGAGTTGCATACGGTTGTCTCCAAAGACTTCGACCTCATGTTTCATGAACTGGAAAGGGCCAGCTTTCATCTAGGCATCCGCTTGATCGGCCTCACTGTCTCCACGCTCAAGGATATTTATGTCAAGTCAGTCCCTCATTTCGTTTACACAAAACTATAGCGTATTAGCAACTAACGTATTACGAACTAGCGTATAACAACGTAGCTGGTATGCGCTATAGTTTCCTGCAGAACGTTGCTTGCATGCAGTGAGCATGTAGACAAAAATAACGCACGCCGTCTCGCCATTGGCCGCGGCGGTGGTACGCCTGTCGCGGCTGCTGCCTGTTGTTATGCGGCAGTGTACTGGCGATGCAGTAAAAGCCTGTGCACGAGATTCAAAGGCACCGACACGAAGAATTGTACCCATCAGACATCATACATTGTACGCATCAGGAGGAAAGACGGCGCGCATGCGCTTTGGGGGTGTAAACTCCGTGGGGAAGGATGCTAGAGGAGAGAAGGGAGAGCGAGTGTAGAACAGAGAGAGAGAGAGAACTAACTTTATTAAAGGTCCTGAAGGGGACTGGGCACCCCTTACGGAGGCCAGCCCGGTGGCTCCGCGCAATCCCCATGTGGGGACTGGGAGTCGGAGCTCGCCAGCCACCCTTTGGGCCTTCTGGACGGCCTGGTGTTGAAGGGCCTTGTCGGGGCTCCTGAGGTGGTTGATCCAGTCGTCCTCGGTGGCAGGGGACCCTAAGCTAGTGTTTAGCACGGGACACTGCCACAGCATGTGACTTAAATCGCACCTTGAATTTTGGCATTTGGAGCATTCTGGCCTTATTTCTGGTAAGTATTTGCTGCAGATATAGGGGCTAGGGTAACTGTGCGTTTGCAGCAGTCGAAGCGTTAATTGTTGTGCTTTATTTAGTGCTGAGTGAGGTGAGGAGAATTCCTTTCTAAATAACTTATATTGCGAGCAAATTTTTGATATGATAGCAGTGGCTCCCGGTGCGTGTTGGTGTCCCCGGCCAGTGAGCCGGACCGAGACCCACCGCGGCACGTAAAATCACGCGCGAGGTTATGGGCCAGCTCATTACCGTTGGGGACCCCTGGTTGAACGTTGATCCCTTCGTGACCCGGGAACCAGTGGATGTGCTTGTCTACATTAATTTGAACAGATGCAAGAACTCTTAATGCCGCCTGGCATAGTGTACCGCGGCGGTATGCCAGTGCAGCGGGTTTAGAGTCGGTAAATATTGTGTCGCACTGAGGGAGTGCTAGAGCAAGGGCAATGGCCACTTGTTCAGCCCCGCATGCTTTCTGTGTTTTTACGCTAAGAGCATTAAGAGCTGTTCCGTCTGGGGCGACCGCCGCAGCTGCAACGTAGGGTTTGTTTACGTAAACCACGCCTGTCACGTGTAGGTTGGCCGCTTTTAGTAAGGCTTGAGCTCATGCCCTTCTTCGAGTCTGATTGTGCACCGGGTGCAAGTTCCTGGGAAAGGGTAGCACTGTGATTTTAGCGTGAAGGTTTTGCGGTAACAGTTCTGGTTCGTTGACTTGAGTTGGGATAGGAAGACCTATGTGTGAGAGGAGTTCCTGACCCGCAGCTGTCGAAGACAGGCGTATGACTTGGGACACTCTTTGTGCTTCGGTGATTTCTTGGAACGTGTTATGTACCCCAAGGGCTAGCAGGCGCTGCGCGCTTGTGGACATGGTTAGACGAAGTACTCGTTTCGTGCATTTTCAGATGAAGTTGTCTACATTAGTTTTATCGCCTTTGCTCGACGGGTGAGCGCAGGCAACGTAGTGAACTTGGCACATTAAGAACGCATGAAAGATGCGTAGTAAGCTCTCTTCTGTGCGTCCTGCGTGTCTATGAGCGATGCACCGGGCGAGGTGAATGACTGCCTCAGATTTTTAGAGGCGAAGCTCCTTATGGCGTGGCTTGTGCGTTCTCGTAGTACGTAACCACCAGTGGCACATACCCGAAATAGGTATAACATTTGACCTCTAAGGTGGTGCCGGTGAGAGATTTCTTCTGTGCGTTGTTTAACAATAAAAAATAGTGCTCAATGTACATGCCAATGGCTGATAATGGGGAATGAGAGACCGGAGAATTCGGCTTTTAGTCAACGCGCACGCTGCGACCGCCATTAGCAGCGTTTGACATGTACATTGAGCACCATTGATCAAGAAAGGGTTGCTACATTATACTCGCTGGGTGTAACCTCCTTAGCTTTAGAAAGGTTTAGCGAGCGTTGAGCCGCTGTGCCATGCATACAATGAACTTGTATATACCATGAACTCAAGGTGGTTGAAGGTGGGAAGTAGACCCGAAGCGCAAGCCGTAAGAAAGTCTGCGTGTGCCACCTCTCGTTTAGTCCTTGGAATGCCCACTGAATGGCGGTGCTTCTGTATGGAGAATATATGATAAAATAATTGTGGGACTTGGAGTGTTGAATAGATGGACGAACGGACACATGGACAGATGCATGGATGGACGCATGAACGGACGCAGGGGTGGATGCATGAACAAGCGCAGGGACGGGCGCACGAACAGACGCATGTACGGTCACACAGACGGACGCATGGACGGAAGAATGCTTCGCCCCACTCTCCATCATTCACTCCGTGGATATGCTGCAATTTTTTGAAGCTTTTAGGGGCGAAGCTTTTTATAGCGGCACCCGTTCGTCCTCGTAGTCTGTAACAAGTATAACATTTTGACCTCCAAGGTGGTGCCGGTGAGAGACTTCTTCTGTTCGTTGTTGAACAACGAAAAATAGTGCTCAATGTACATGTCAATGGCTGCTAATGGAGAATGAGAGAGAGGAGCATTCGGCTTTTAGTTAACGCGCAAGCTGCGATCACCATTAGCAGCCATTGGCATGTTCATTGAGCACTATCTGACAAGAAAGGGTTGCTACGTTATACTCGCTGGGTGTAACCTCCTTATCTTTAGAAAGGTTTAGCGAGCGTTGAGCCGCAGTGCTATGAATACAATGAACTTGTATATACCATGAATGAACTCGAGGTGGTTAAAAATGGGAAGTAGATACGAAGCGCAAGCCGTAAGAAAGTAAAAGCCGAATTCTCCGCCTCTCATTTCACATTAGCAGCCATTGGCATGTGCATTGAGCGCTATATGACTGAAAAAGTTTGCTACGTCATGCTCGCTGGGCGTAACCTCCTTGGTTTTCGAAAGGTTTAATGAGCGTTCGGCCACAGTGCCACGAATACAGTTAACTAGTATATACCATGAACTCGAGGTGGTTAACGGTGGGAAGTGGACCCGAAGCGCAAGCCGTAAGAAAGTGTGCGTGTGCCACCTCTCGTTTAGTCCTTGGGATGTCCGCTGGATGACGGTGCTTCTATATGGGGAATATATGATGAAAAGATGCGACTTGGTGGTACTTGGAGTGTTGAATAGATAGACGAACGGACACATAGACAGATGCATGGATGGACGCATGAACGGACGCAGGGGCGGCTGCATGGACGAACGCAGGGCGAACGCATGGACGAACGGTCACACTGACAGACGCATGGACGGACGGAAGCAAGAACAAATGGACGAACGAATTCTTCGCCCCACTCTCCATCATTCACTCCGTGAATATGCTGCCATTTGTTTCCCACTATCTGAATCTTTGGTTTATTCTGCAAAAAGAAAGAAACCAAAGATTCAGATAGTGAAAAAAAACAACAACAAGAAAATAGACAGTAATAGCTAAACCTTGATTTTGGAAGTCGACCAGACAGCTGGTTTTGCCAAACCCGATTAATTTGGCATGTCACGGATTTATCCAGATTTGAAAATTACTTTTTGACTCGTTTTTTTGAGTACTTGTTAACCAAGTGGGGTGAACAGGAGAGGTCTGGTGATATTGTCAAAAAACGTTGCCCACCTTGTCACTTGTTATCAGTCAATTTTCGGCAACATCACGAATCGAAAGGTATGCTGGAAATGGTCGCACCATGAGAAAATGGCCAGCGGAACAAGAAAAAAGACGGAACCAATGTGAGACGCGTCTGCTCCCAATGGCCAGCTGAATAGCATGCCTTTTGTCCATTGGCTTCGGAAATTTCGGTAAACCGTAAATTTTCTGGGGTCTGAGCTCACGGAAGCCGAAATGGCATTTCTCTGGTTTTATCGTCAAGTTTACTGACTTGATAGCAGTGAGCCCAGCGGAGCCCTTCCAAATGCTGCTCGAATGTAACTGAGAAGACGTCGTCGAGATAAATCAGGCACGACTTTCATTGCACATCGAAAAGCACTGTGTTCATCATCCGTTTGAATTGGGTTGGTGCAGAAAAAAGGCCAAAGGGAAGTACCTTGAACTCATATAAACTGTCTGGTGTCACAAACACTGTCTTCTCACAGTCTCTTTCGTGAACTTCTATCTGCCATTATCCACATTTAAGATCCGGCGAGGAAAAAATCAGAACATATTCACGGAATGGATGATGATGAGCGGAGTGTAGCGCCCATGTGTTTGTCCTTCTCTCTGTCTGTCCATGAGTCCTTCCGTCACTCTAGTCAACACTTTAGGTACCGTCATCTCACATCTTTTTATCATTATTTCACTATATACAAGTAACGCCATCCAGCGGACGTTCTAAGGGCTAAACGAGAGGTATATAGCTACTACAACGACGATGACATGAGGCATACGACCCACGGCATAAGGAGCTTAGCCCCTGAAGCTATGGGCCATCTCATCGAAGGAAACCCTGATGAGATGCGAAGCAGCAGTGGTGCGCACGACAGTGACCCGGTTGAAACGGGCATGGACGCGGATGCTCAAAGAACGGTTTGAAGTGAAACTCGGTGTAGTGTTTACTCGCGTAAACGCTTGTTTGAAACGCAAAGACGTGGGTGGCGGGACCCGTTCAAGACGCTCGCACTCGGCTTCCTTGGCTCGCGTCTCGTCGGCGTTACCCGCTTGCCGTCTGCATTTTCGAACACGATCGGTGTTCTCGACTCGCACGTCGTCGGCGTCTTCCGCTGCCGACGCTTGCGTTCGGCTTCCGTGGCTCGTGCCTCGTTGGTCTTGACGTCGCCATTCACGAACGCTGTCGGCTTCGCTAA